GGCACCATTGGGAACCCGGAACTGCTCCGAGCAGCTGGACAATTGGAGCTGCTCTGCACCCAGCTGTCCAGATTCAGCCGCTGCTGAAACTGACGAGCAGCTGACTCCAGCTCTGCCCCGGGCTTCCTGGAATCAGCCGCTGATCAGTTTCAACAGGCTGAATCTGGACGCCAGTTCCGACTTACATACAGATTCAACTTAAGAACAAACCTACAGTCTCTATCTTGTACGTAACCCGGGGACTGCCTGTATACATAGGAGTTTGTTTTTTTCATGATTTTAAGAGTCTAAACTCAGGGTGCGCACTATACATAGGTGCGCATTATACTCAATATGGTATACCATCTACCTGAATCACCAAACAGTTCTGAGGGATTCTCCCATTGATGTATCAGCACAATCTAACCCTGGTAAGAGAATTACTGCACAAGGTGATGGTGAAATCTGCTTCACTTAAACAGATAGGGGAAAAAAGCATAGGGAAGAGTATCTAACTTGCATGAATTTTTTCAAATTCTCTTGCTGTTTAACTTCAAGAAAGATAACTGCATCTTTCACTTGTTTAAGAGAGAGGGCCCATTTGTTATACTTCTGCAACATAGGCCATAGAAGCATCCTTTTCCATCCACCTCCTACTCGGCTCATTTTTTAATGTGGTGCCCCCAAATAATCCTAAGTATAGACAAGAACCCCATTGTGCTAGGCACTGTACAAACTTTGTCCCAAGTTTAAGTAGATTGAAAATTTAAGTGGACTCAAAGCTGAGGCAGGAGCACATGCTGTTTTTCTTACTAAGATCATGAAAAATGCTCAACTTCACCCTTGTGAGGGCCTCAACTAGCATGGCAATGGGTGCCAGATAAATGCCTGAAACAAGGAACAGTCTCCCACGGTCTCAGCATTGTTTTCAGTGCACATTTCTGTCTCACATTTCGTTCCTTGCATCCTGTCTCGAAGGTAAAAAATGCTGTCGACAACTGAGAAGAGGTTATGGGGAGAGATAAGAAAGAAACCCATTATACAGAGCATCTGCTTGTGTTAAGATCTCACTCAGGCAGTTGCAGCAACTTATCAACCTAGTCTTTCTTATCTAGTTTCACCAGCACCAGCAGAAATGATCAAAACACTGCTGTGTATGAGCAGCATTAAATGGGAACTGCTGAAATTTACCATCCTATCATTCAAATGCAGGAAAACAACTAGTATCCCCTTGGCTGTGACAAATTTTAGAGAGGAAAAATTGAAGATATTAAGCAGCATATGGTGTGTGAATTAAGATTAAAAACAACAGCTGTCAATGTTGACTGAAAAATCTTTAAAAAAAAATTAATAAATATTTATGAAAGTACTGAAGTAGAGATGGCTTGAATTGACATCCCTCACCTGCACAATCTACTTTGTAGTTTGAAATTTAGATCTAAACATTACAGGTTAGGTCCATCTTCAGAATTTAAGAGGAATTATACAAGTAAATATTATGCTGCAGTAAGAAATGATTAAACATTTGAAATCAGAGTTTAATACAAGAATTATCTACCTGGGTCAACATTTGACTTGCTTGGAACTGTGGGGAGCAGACTTTTTTTTGTGTGGAAAAGGGGTTAAGAGAAATTTATTTGTACTTCATTTCTTGATGAAGTTCAGAATTATTACTGTATCCATTAAACGTCAACTGCAAAAGGAAAGTTAAACAACATTTTGGCATCAACAGTGTAACCAATACCAAAATTGGTTAGCAGTGTAACCAATACCAAATTTAATAAAATTACTTAGCACCTACAGTAATTTTCATCCTTGGATCTTAAAGTTTTCTTAAAAGTGACGGGTGAAACAATTACTCATGTCTTACAGATAAGGGAACCCAGGCACAGAAAAGTTAAGTAGCTTGCCAAAAATCAATGGCAGAAAAGGGAGTCGCATGATCACCATTTGGCATGGTGCATAGTTAATACTTCACTTCTGAAATCCTTGTATTAAACAAGGCTGAAAGACAAATGAACAATATTTCTTAGAAGTGCCTATTCACTGCCAAGTTCTCACTGTATTCAATTAAACTTGTCAATGGGAGAAAAGTTGGAACAGTTCTAATTGATCAAAGGCAACATTTTCAAAACATCTGAGTCTCAATAAGATATAGAAAACTCCTAAATCAGTTACACACTGAAAATTTCACCCCACCAAAAAGTGAACTTGTGACATTGAACCAATACAATTTCACATAATTGCATTTAAAATCTCTTCTGAAGATGCATCATTCATTATTATTGAACATAGCCTAGAAGCAGGGCAGTGGCTTTGACAGAACAGATTTAAGGCCTTAACTCTTAATTAAAAACTAATTAGGATCTACACAGTGAAGCGGTTGGCTTATTTATGAACTTCCATAGCTGAGTTAAGGATATAAAATAAGTAAAATATAGGATTGGAAGGATGAATAAAAAGATGATTTTTTAATAAAAGGACCACACACCCATGTGATAAAGCTAGCAGTAACTTACTTTTGCTGCAGCTGCCACAATGACCATAAGCGGTTCACATATGAATACTCCTGAAAGCAGTCTGTGGGCCAGGCTATTATGTCTCCTGCCCATGAGAAACAGCATAAATTGAGACATGTAGTGAATATATTATATTAGGTTTCTAAACTAAGAAAGATGGTGAAATGTCCTTTTTATTCTTCCTGTTCAGATTCCTATTCATTATGATAGTCATGATAGCATTCCACCCTTGTCCTCATACTCTTATAGCTACGCAGATATTTTTCTTTGCAACATTTATGATGACAAATCAACATATATGCTACCGTGTCAAAAATGGCTCACTGCTCTCTATCCTCAGTTGCATGAAATTGCTAAATCAACATGTATGGTGACATTTCTTCTGCAGTTTGTGGGGATTACTATAAGACAATTTGTTTGGCTTTTTCTGAGAATGGTGAGCTGGACTGGAATGTGATTATATAGGAAGCAGGTATGAAGTGAGGAGAGTATAGGAAGATAAGTAACAATTCCAGTTTAGCATAATTTAATTTCCTCCTCTCCATTTGTTAACCTAGTCATGTCACCTCCCCTATTCCCAATTCTCATTAGGACCTCTCTTGTACTAAACACATAACTGCCATTTGCAACACAGAAACACTGCAGTCATTACCTTAAACAATTAGCAATCTGACAATCTGGCAAGTTGAAGCAGTTTGGTTGTTCATGGCCACACAGACACCAGCATCCCGGATTTCTGTGATTTAACCATTCTTGTAGACAAGCCCTTAAACGTTAAGAGAATTTAACTCTGCAAATGTTTTAAATTAACATGAATCACTACATTCGGAAATGCTGGACTCATGCCACCCATCAGCTGAAGATACAGCTCTTAAAAAAAAAAAAAAAAAAGCTATGCTTATGTACATGATCTGGGAGGTCTGCCCTTTTGTTCCCTCCTTTTGGAATGATGAGAATGAATCTTAGAAATTGATCTTGATAGGGATCATGGGGAAAAGTATTTGACATCACATAATGAAGTAATGATAAAGACTGTAGTGACAAGATGGGTGAGGTGATATCTTTTGCTGGAATAATTCTGTTGATGAAATATACAAGATTTCTGTGTAATCTTTAATACTTGTCTCACCAAGAGAAGTTGGTCCAGTAAAAGACATCACCTCACCCTCCTTGTCCAATATCCTGGGACTGTTTCACAGCTACAATAACACTGTAAACAAAGATTATATTAATGCAATGGAAGAGTAATTCCATGTGAAATGTAGTTTTTGGAGCTCTTTCTTCCAGCCAGCCAGAATGGAAATACCTCCTTCATTTGAAACAACTGCACCACTATGATTATATCTACCATCCATTCCTATAAATGCAAGTAGGGGAAACTGAATTTCTAATGCTATTGATATTATTGAGATTGAGCTCGATTTGGGAGCTAGTTTATGTTTAATTATCAATGAACATATTTGTCAGACACTAGCAAAAACTATGCCCCTTGCCAAAACTAATTAAACTGAAAAAAATCTGGAAACACAACCTTAGGGACACCAATATAAACAAACATACATGAGAAAAAGCAAATATTTAGGAATTTAGTCACATTCACCCTCTAGGTTACACACACTATGGTAATCTGACAAGTAATTATAATATGCAAAAAGGCTGTTATTTTGAGAATATCAATCTTTTGCAGTTCCTAACACTTGCTAAATGTATAATCTTATTATAGTATTTTTTTTTAAACTGATCTTTTTAAAAGGAAGACAGAAAGGAACCTTCCAATGCCTGTTGGCATTTAAATGATCCCAACTGGAGACTGAATACTGAATACTGAATACATGAATATATTACTTAAGTGGCTTCACTGAATTATAACTCACTTGAGGAAAGATTTTCAGGACAGAGCACACTGCTTTGAAGTTCACAGTCATTACAATTGAATGTTATGGGAGAGGTAATATTTTTTTCTTGCTGCTGTTGTATACAGGCAACATTTTCTTTTGCAAGGATGAGCTAAGGCAGACGCGCATCTGAGAGTAATTGGAAGGACACCACAAAAAAAAAAATTTAAGCAAAGAGAATTTTTCTACTAACTTCAATGGGACATAATTTCATCAAGGAGCTTTTCATTCCATAGAAATCAATTCTACTATTGATTGACTATATAGATCTTCCACTGCCCAAACCATCTTTACAAAGCAAGATACATACTCACCATTTAAACATACTTTTTTCTACAGATGAGAAGTATTATGTTTACATGGATCAAAATGCAGATTGCTACTATTTAATCTGCATTTTTAGATGATAAAAAACTATGCAACTACTCAAATTAACATTAATCACTTACATTTAGTTCAGTGACAATAACTACATGTTCCTACATTTTGAAGGACAAAGAACAGGCTGTTCAGAGCTCCTGATTACTCCCTAAAATTTGTATAAGGGAGTTTAAGATACAGAAACACTTTAAAACATGTCGTAATTCCAAGAAGTCCAAGGCCAATATGCAATACACTAGCTACAAAATTTTATTTTAACATAAAAACATTTCAGTCATAAGGCTTTGTAAAACAGCATATCAAGTAGTTACCTTAATCTCTGCAGTGTAAGCACCTTGAAGTTATATGCTAACATGATCAGTATAAATTTACTACTTATTTGGTCACACTACTCACATGCATGACAATACATCTTTTAGCAGTTATACCAAATACAGAAGTAAAATAATTATAAATATATACCAGATTACCTTACTTGTAACAAAGGTATCTCTCTCTGGTAACATGAAAAAATAGAAATTGTGAACATATGGATTTAATCATCTTTATTTTTAATCTTTTCATTTTAGTGAAGACTGTCTTATAATTTTAAATTAGAGAAAACTGGAAAAAAGAATTATAAAACACTATATGCTATAGCTAAAAGATTGCATAGTAAAGCCAATTTGTTGGGGATGGCTTATATACATTCTTTTTCTTAGGATGCAACCTCTGAGTGGATAGCTCTTAACATTGTTACCATTCACTAATTCGGCCATGCCATGCCATTTCTTTTCAAGCAAAATACCCAATTGAAATCAAAGGGAGAGTTTTGGCTTAAAAACAAATCATATGATATGGATCACTGGTAAGGGAAAATCGTACAGCCCACAGTGGAGCATTTTATATTGGTTACTGATTATAAAATCTACGATGTACATTTTAACATTCGTAAGGAAGTAAAACAAAGAATGAACAAAAGTTTACAAAATATCACTATAGCACCTGAGATTTTTCTTTATAAAACCTAGTAGAGGTACCTGTCCGAGGAAGATAGTTGTACAATATAATCAACTCGATTTCTCTCAATATTATAAAAGGCACAATCTCTCCTGAAATAGTTTAAATAAACACTATATTTCAAAACTAACTTTCATCTTCAAAATTAAATACACTAAATTATACTTAAGAATTGATCCATGATTTCCACAAAGCACTGCATGTGTAATTAACTATGTAGTTTCTACATGAGAACCAATCATTACATTGCAAACGAAAGGAAAAAAAAAAAAAAGAACCTCACCTATTCAAGAGTACCTGATAAAATTAAGCACACATTTAAGAATATGAGTTTAAAGCACACTGTATGGCATTTGTAATTTGCGGTAGCTAAGTTTTGAAGCATGCAATATTCATACTGACAAACTTAACAGTATTATATAAGGTTTCTGAACATAAACAAGATAGAACAAAAATGCAATAATTTAATAACCTGCTATACATAGCCAACCAGTAGTTAGTCTGTCTTAAAATTTTTTGTAGAAATAATACTTTAAGGAAACGTTCTGTAATTTCCATTCTTCGTATTGTGAGCTTATTCTCAGGGAAGTAATGGCCATCTGTCCACTTCTCTGCAATGTGGAAAATGCATGCTTGACATTCTCCAATTCTTCTCTCCCACTTTCAACGCAACTAATACAGTGCACTATAGAATGAAAAACTCTGCTTTTTAATTCCTTTGTTTTGATGCTAGGTGCGCATGAATTCTGCTGAACAAGAAACCATCTAAACTCCCAGATTTAAGAATAAAAGACAAAGCATTAAACAAAATCCTCAAAAACAGGAAACTGTCTTGATAGGAAAGGAATGCTTTTTTCCTTTGTGTATATAGTTTTATTTCTGCAGCATACCCAAGTCTAAAAATGATACAGAAAATGTCTAGTTAAGACATCAAAATTTAAGAACTGCTCCTTAATTCTAATAATACTCCTCTTTAGCACTTCCAACAATTACTGGTAGTGTATAGATTAGACATCCCTAGTTGGGATAATGAAGTTGCTACATGGTCAAGTTTAAGTACACTTCTCCCCACAACTCTAGAGTTATGAATTTGTTGGACATTTAGTGAGTGAAGTCAAGTGTATCAGGTTTTTGCTTTTTCATACCACACCTTATCATGAAAAGGGCCACCCCGGCCACATAATGAAAAACAGGCAGGGCTGACTTTGAAATAATAGACTAACAGTTTGCAATTGTGCTAGAAATTTAAACAGTTAATGGCACTGTCTCATTTTAAGAAAACCTTCTTTTAAAGGTATAGTAATCCAGAAATCCAGGCCTGCCAATGAGGAGGTGCAAGAGAAGGGAGGAGTTGCCCTGGGGCCCAGCGATTCAGAAGGGTTGGGGGCTCATGGCTACTGCTATTGCTCTGAGTGGCTCTGAGGGCTGCTGAGGAGGGAGGGGGAAGAGCTGTGGTGCAATGCGGACAGCACCGAGGGCTAACTGCACCCAGCCCTGCCCCTTCCAGCACAGAGCTGCCCCCCAACCTTGCCCAGAAGCCCAGAAAGTCTCTAGGCTTCCCCTGCAGAGAATTCAGTTTTAATCAAAGAATAATGATCACAAAGAATGCTCCTCTCGGTGCAAATATACTGTAGTATCAAAACAAAAACAAACAAACAAACAAACAAAAAAAAAAAGGTCAGAGCACAACTATTAATGTTCCAGTGTATCTTTACATAATGGAATGTTGCTTCACACACAAACCTGCCCCCTCCCCCTGCAAGAATGACAAATACCTTTAACCAAATTCTAGTCACGAAACAATCAAGGGCAAAGCTATGCAAGTTCATTTGGTGGTGGTAAGTTATCCATATAACAGTCAATGCCAAAGAAAAAACAACTATGTGGGGTAAAGTGAGGAGAGCACTTCCACCCGGGCATCTTACCAAGAAAAATATCCCCACCATTCATAGAAGGCTGTTCTTGCACAAAGCTTTCTGGGATTTGAATGCAAATCCTCTGCATGTTAATCAGTCCTTTAATGTGAAAGAGAAAACAGAACACACCCCAAAAAGCAAGAGCTTTGGCTGAGAAAAGGTGTGATTTAGTGGGAGATAAGGGGAGAAGTTAATTTAACAATTCAAACTGTACTTATAGATGTATGTACAGCATATTCTTTCACAACATTGTGCTTTTAAAGTTACAAGGTGGGATTTCAGTGAAAATTCAAGATAGGCATCGTTATACATTTTCCAAAGTTAGCTGCCCATTATAAAAAATTTTGGTAGTATTGGCCACAGTGTTTTAGAAAATAGTAGATAAAATATTAAATGTAAAACAGACTTAAGATTTTGTTCGCCTTAACAAAAGGCAATACTTTAAAAATGCAAGGCACTTAAGACAAAAATTCTCTCTCCAGTTCATATATAGAGGGCCGACAAGTTTTGCTCCTCATTCTACACAAAGGCACTGTGCAGTCTCTGTTTTGACCTTCCACATCAATATCAAGTAAGGAGGGCATGTGGGATTTAGTTCTGTCTGCAGTATCTGATATAAAGTTAACATTTGGACTTTCGTAACTTTCTAAATAGTCCACCTCTGCAGAGTCTGTGTTTATATTTTGTGGAAGAATCTGCCAAGGATCTATTTTGTTTCTTAGGGGAGAAGGTCGAGGCCTTGATAGAATATTGACTACTCTTTGCTTTTGAGGTGACACATCCTGGTGCATGCTTGTTTGTTGAGCAGCTGTAGACAGCGGAATCTCAGAAACTGGAAGTACTGGCAACATAGAGACTCCATCAGGTGAAGTGATTCCATTAGCTAGATGGAGGGAAAGATAAGACAGCATCAGATCACTTCTACTTTTGATTTCTTTAAAAATCTAGAAAACCACATACCACCGATAACAACTTTAGTGATACTACCTAAACTATTACTTGACCAAAATAAAACCTGTAGATGATATCATGAGCTTTCATACCCATGAAAGCTCATACCACCATCTACATGTTTTGTTAGTTTCTAAGGGTATGTCTAGACTGCATCCCTGTCAGCAGAGGGATGCAGATTAGGCAGGTCAACATTGCAAATGAGGCAGGGATTTAAATATCCTGTGCCTAATTTGCATAAAATGTCCGCCACGTTTTGCCGACTCAGCACTTTGGCGGCAAAAAGTGGCCGTCTAGAGGGGGATCTGTCGAGAAAAAAAGCCTTTTTTGACAGATCCTGTAAACTTCCTTGCAGGAGGCATAAGGGATCTGTCAAAAAAGGCTTTCTTTCTTGACAGATCCCCTTCTAGAGGGCCACTTTTTGCCAACAAAGCGCTGAGTCGGCAAAATGCGGTGGCCATTTTTATGCAAATTAGGCACGGGATATTTAAATACCTGCCTCATTTGCATTGTCGACCCGCCTAATCTGCATCCCTCTGCCGACAGAGGGATGCAGTCTAGACAGACCCTAAGGTGCTACTAGACTATTCATTATTCTTTAAGTTTTTCCAGTTACAGACTAACAGTTTTTTTCTTCACCAAAATTTCCTCTCGCCCCCTCCCCCCCCAAAATAGTTACATAGGCTGCTAGGAAGGAGTGGTGCCTCAAATGCAGGGCAGCCTTAGATAATGGTCTGATAGTCATTACGAGAAATTCTGTGTGCTGAAACTACTATTCCTGGTTGGAAGTTAAGGAAGCCTATTTCTCATCAGTCAGGGAGGCAGCATAATTCAATCAGCCTAACAGCAGGATGAATAAAGGTGAAAAGTTTGTTAAGTTTTGCCAAATCATTTTTAAGACACACACACACACACACACACACACACACACACGAAACCCTCAACTAGTAAGGGGAAAGATAAATTAATTTAAGGAATTTAAACCCCAAATCATATTGAAGAGCAATACTGTGTTCCAAAAGATGCTCTTCAAATGAAATAGGACAACACTATTATTAATAGTGAGTACAAAACTCATTATTTCTATTGCATGTCAGCAGATTAGAGAATAGGAATTTTCAGTTTGAATGTGTCTTAACAATAGCTTAAGAGTAAAATGTTTAGTGGGGCAGGACTCCTGTTCCAGTCAGGTAAGTGAAACTTGTAAAACCTGTTTCTCCTAAAGGGACATTACTAAAATGACACTAATGAATTAGTCTCTGTTGACCAATTGCTAAGCTACATTAAAGTAACAATTTCAGCATTTCCTTCAGCCATGTGAAGCTCTGATGCTACAACCTTTGTAGAAATACCCTCATTTCCCATCACACTTGGCAATCCAGTTTTGTTTTAAGAACTACAATATGGTAAGGCTATCTCAATGGATGACTCAGCACTAATTTTGCAAATTCCACTGACAGCAATGGTTTTGGTACATCCTACCGGGCTGTAGGTCACCACAGACTTCTATACAGTTGCTGAAAAAGTCTTAGATGAAGCTATTTTACTGAGTCATTAATGGAATTTATATTGTGCTTCAGCTGAAACACCTGTCCTCCCCATACACTGTGGGAAGATACTATTCCTGATAATTACTCATTATACATTTAGTAAGTTCTAATTCCACCAGATTTTCAATTTTGTTGATGCACTCTAAAGCATTTCTCTGTTATTCTATATTACTCACATGTGGGCTGGAAAGTATTTCCATCTGACATGGTTCGTCTGTGACCCAACCGTCTCAATTTGGATGAAGAGACATTTGGTATTTTTTCAGATTCTTGTTTCAGAGGAAGAATAGGAGACTGAGTCTTTAACATCACAGAATCAGTGGCAAGCACCTGTTTTACACTTTGTTCCCCCCTCTTAGTTGCCAAAATTTCAGATGAAAAGACCTCAATGGGAATGCTTCTATCACAATCACTGGGAGTGATGCTGACAAAAGCATCTTCACTGTCAGACTGAAGCAAGCATTTGGTGGAAAGGGAAGGCATAGAGAGAAGATTCACAGTATCTGCAGATGGACTTAATGATGGAGTATGCGTTTCCTCTTTTTTGGATTGCAATCTTGTGGGACTGGCACTTCTGCGAAACTTTGAGGCACGTTGAAATATTCCCTCCCGCTTCTTCTTCTCCTCCTTTGGCAACAGTTCATCTGGAACCTGCGATTTGTTTAGCTCTCTAATATCTAAGCCCAAAGCTATGGATGCAAGGAGGACAGTACATCCATACAATACGGAGTCAGTTTTCTTTTTCTGAAATGTTCTATTGAGACTGTTCGTAGGTGTCATTTGAGGAGTACTATTTGCAGAACTAGCAGAAGTTCCTTCTTCAAAGCTTTCATGTTCTACAGTGGTTTCTTCCTGATCATCCTTCCCCAGAGGTAGATCAATATAAGCCTGATTTGGCAACTTTATTTGCTTTGGTCTTTTTGCATCCAAACTTTCAGGGAAAAGTCTCTGTTCTGTACAAACATCTATAATGTAAAAATATTGGAAGGTACTTAAATATTGCAAAATATTTGGTAAATTTATTAAAATACACCACACACCCAGATATTATGTGTCTCCATTATTTACGCTTTTTGGAGGTTCAGCGGAACACAAAGGGTTAACTGTTAAGTCAGATTAAAAGTTTCCACAAATCAAAATCTATCCATACTCTTGTTATAACATCAAAATCTCTAGTAGTCAAAAGAATAAAAGTACAATTTTTCTACAAATACACTATTTTCAAAATAGAAAAACGCTATTTGAATTTACAAGAGAGTTATAAAATTAGCTATATATCATTACATTTGAAAAATTTGAAAGATTGACCCTTGCTTGTGAAAATCTAAACATCAAACTGTCTCTGTATCTCTACTGAGCACCCAGTGTACTATACATATTTCCCCAAGAGTATAAATACATATATTTTTGCTGACTTCCATTTTGCTTGTGTTGAAAAACTTAAATTGCAGCATATTTCTGTGAATAGATTATTGTGAGTAATATATATGATTTACATAGCACAGAATTATAGAATCATATATACCCACCCCATCTATATATGCGTGTTATGTCTGAAGGCTTTCATATATGACATGCTCAGGGGGGCTCTGAATTAAAAAAGCTTATATAAAGTCACTTATATAAAGTTCAATGGGCTATTAAGTCCACTATGAATAAATTTGATACTTCTAGCGTGTATGATGAAAATGAACAAAGTAGTTTTAGTTCTTTAGCTCATAGTGGAATAACAAATGAAGGTAAGCGATACCTGCAGATTGTGTACTGACTCCTTACGAGGCAAATGTGTAAAATAAGAGACTGGGTATTTATAATATGTGGTAGTAACTGCATAAGACGAGGCACACCGTAAAAATGCACGAACAGTTATTCTGTACAGTAGGGTAGGATGAGAGACAGTCAACAGTAAACACTGACTATTCAAATTAGTGTTTCAATCTCAAACTACTGAATGTCCTTTCTTAGATAGTCAAGCTTAATTATAATGTTTTGCAGCTGAGTTTCCAACCCTCCCCTACTCTACCCTGCCCCCCACAACTCTGATTTTCACCTGAATGGTCTAAATTATTCTTAACTTTTCAGAGCAAGTTAAAAGAAAAGGATTTTGTTTCTTTTTAAGGGGAGCCTTGGAAGTCCATCAGTTCTCAAACTGATCTTATTTAAAATAAATCTTTGAAAATATGGTTCTTGGGCTTTTTAAAATACCAAGAAAATAGTTTTAATTTAAATATTTCTTTGTCAAGTTAGCTAACTACATTCCAACATTATACAAGTGAATGAGAAAAGGAAAAAGATGTAATTTTTATTGTTCAAAGGTGTGGAAATTCTCAAAACAGACACAAAACACCTACATCTAATTTCCCTTTTTATAATTTTCATTTGCTAGATTTCATACAATATCTTCAAGTTTCCTTCTGTGTTGCTGCTATTTTTAACCTGAAGTATCTTAGTTAGTAAACACAAACACCTTTAAATGGGAAGTTTAGGAGAAGTCTATATGCTCATGGCCATAACAGACCCTGAACTGTGTTTGTGACCAGATACAGATCAGGCCTCAAAACTTGGGCATTCTATATGCAAGGCTGTAGATCATGAAAAAGCTTCTAATCAACAGACCAGGAAGCATAAGGATTGTAAAACTTAAAGTTTTCTATATTTTATGCACCTGAGGTATCTGTGACTTAAGCATACCTCCAAGATCTGCAAAATATTGAACAGAAGTTATAATATTATTGTGGCACAATCTGAATAGCAAAAGGAACTCTGGAAAGAGAGATCTAGGACTATACAATAGCTTTACTGACTATCAATGTGCAAAATAAGTCTTTGTAATTTATTTTTGAGATGTGAATGAAGAATAGCCAAAGATTTCTCCAAATAGCAGAAAAAAATTATTTTAAAGTCCCATAGTTCTAAGATTTCTGCCCTGATTTACACGCTTTCTAAAAATAACATTTCTTCTGGTGGAACACTAAGCACACAAATTTCAAAATGAAAAAGGATTTATTACTGAAATTGGATGGAAGCATTTCAAAACTGGTCCAAGGATGGAATTCTGTGTTACAACCCTAACTAAAGAGTTTTTATTAAAACTCAATTCTATAATTCTATTCAACTAAACATCAGGTCTGGTATGAAATAATTGGTGGTATGAAAAATGGTGATACTATGGAACTTTCTAGATTTCTCAACACAAAGGGCTACATTTCCAGGAAAAGTAGTCAAGACAGGCAATGATTTCTGAAATATTCTTTGCATAATTGGCATCTACATGTGTACACCTTAAACGTACGTACAGCTCAAAGGACCATTTGTGTGTTAAAATATAGAATGTGCATAGGAAATGGGGCCTTAATTCATATAATGTTATAGCAATTTCCATGAATTGATAACCAGCTCTTACCTTGGTCCACAAACAGCGAGGCTAATGCAACACCTTTCTGACTTTTCATTAAAATGGTTGACCAAGGATTATTGCCATCTGAGAGTGGTCTTACTCTGAAAACACAATGATTCTTTAGACACCATACAGAACATATTTCTATAACTTTGTAAAGGAGAATTAGAGGAAAATAAGGATCTTGAGTAATTTAAAAAAAAGAAGAGTACTAGTGAAAAGTTAGATAGCTGATTTCATCATTATAAAATTATATAAATTCAAAATTTTAAATATGTACTGCTCTTCTTAGTACAGGTTGAACCTCTCTAGTCAAGAATGATTTTAGTTAGCCACATGTCCACTTATCATGGGTGTGATCAAATTTCCCATGGTTTCATATAATTTGCTTACAGCACCAGTCCTGACTTTCAGTGTTCTGTGCTGTTATTTAACTCTAATTTACCCCTAACTGTCTTCTATGAACCCAGTAAGCAGTGGAAGTGCTGGTAATGCTGTTAGATAATATTGACCTCCTGTGGTGCAGCAAATTCTCTAGTTTGGCACCAGTCAGGTCCTGAGGGTACCAGATTATAGAGGACTATGCAGCACTTTAAAGACTAATAAGATGGTTTAATAGGTGATGAGCTTTTGTGGGCCAGACCCAGACTAGAGAGGTTTAACTTGTGGTAAAAAAGGAAATACTTCCTTTACCCTGCACCTAAACAGACTGAAATTCACTGCTGCAACAGCTATCGCACAAATAAATTATTTATTTTTCAAAAATAAATGAAATGACTGCCTGTATTGTTTCTTCATATTTCAGAATCCCAGTAATACCTGACTAACAGAATGGTGTTGGAAGGTGGTCACTGAAGCCACAAAGAATCAACATTATATCTCAGAGTGTCAGGCACTGTAAGGTAAATAACTGTTCTAACACCTCTGAGTCTTTGTCTACATACCTCCCAATTAGGACTACCAAAAAAAAATTCCCAGTCAATAAAATTAGTGTCTGAGAAATTCTAACTACAAATGACCTAGCTAAATAAGGGTTGCAGAACTACTCTCCCAAATCTGGCTTCCAATCTAATCAATATCAGTCACTGTAGTAAGTAAATATAAAATATAGCTGTCGTACCTCTCCTTACAATGTGTACGTTCCTTTGTTTGAATCGAGCTTGGTCCCCAAGTACAGCCTTTCTTCTTAAAGCTTCTTTTCACATCTTCAAATTCTTCTTGGTGGCAAGCTGTGCTTCTTCCCCAGGTTCTGTTGCTTTCATCGGAGGTTACTAGAGACAGATACAATCATCATCATCAGAATTGTTAATGACACCAGACAAATTTGGATTTTAGCAAAGCAGCATTCTCCAGTAAAACTGCATCACAGTAGTAAAATTAAAAAGGTGAAACTTAAAAATTGAGATGATTGTTTTTCCCACTGGTGCCAAAACACAAATTGTGTTGATCAAAATGATAAGCAAGCAAGGAGTAATTTGCAAACTGGCAAGAAAGGTGAAAATTAAAGACAAAGCAGCAAGAAATCTTATTTTTCATGCTTCTTAAAATTCAGTATCTTACATTAGGTAGTTCATGTACATGGGGCAGATTGAGCATTTACCAGTTAATATTTTGTTCAGTAGAATTTTTGATGCAATGATATCAAATTAATTAGAATATCTCAGTTACAACCAATTACTGTGGTTATGTTTCTCATTAATCCAAAATAAATATTTTATAATGGATATGTTCTGTTTAAGTGCTCAGTCTGTCACTTGATACAAATTCGTCTACAGAGTTAAAAGAACCAACACCCTTTACAATTTATTTGGATCTTGCCTTTTTTCACAACCCCACAGGAAAGTTCATATTCACTTGTGATATCTACATCTTGCTGGTATACATAGACACTGTGTCTTCGGCCATTAGCTGTATTTGTGTCTGCTTTGGAAATCACTGAGAAAAAAAATTAAAAGAATGCATACAGACTTTAGTAATTTTACTGAATTTGTGAAAGGAGGATTGATTCTTCCTTCTACTTGTTGCTCTAGTGCCAGAAACCCAGATCCAGAAAGGTTTAAAATGCCTTCTGAGAAGAGCTAAGCTGACAAAGGAGTAGAAGAAAGTGATTGGTCCCATAGTTTGCAGATAAGAATCAGATGAACAAATTCTTATGTCAGACCAGCCTCATGGAGATAAGTGGAAAAGTAAATTATCAACTTGCTCACAACCAAGATGGTGGTCCTGAGCTAAACAACATTAAATTTTGCCACAAAAGACTGCTTTTAACAAGGTAAAATTTAGATGGTTTATCATTCCATTATTTCCCACTCCTCCCCCTTACATCAATTTAACTAGCTCTGCACCACAGATGCTTGTCTTTGGAAAGATGTCACAACTGAATTTTCAGTTTCCTAGAAACTACTTTCAACTTACTGGTATTTTTTTTTAAATGAGTGTTCAGAAACAGCTAAATTCAAACTTATGACTAAATTTTTTTTACAATTAGCTAGGGTTTCTCTAATTTTTAAGAAATTTAGATTCAGAAGTTTGAAATATTTATGAACAAAGATGTGTAATCAAATAAGTAATTGCTAGATATTCTTGTTCAAAGTGCACACAGTTGAATAAATCTCTGAGTGAGGAAGCTCTGAAGTTTAATCAAGATAATCAGTTCTGGAGGAAGGTATTTTACACAGAGTGATTTACAGAAGGATGTGGAAATTAAGTTGCTTCAGTCAAATATACTCAAAAGATTAGAGAACTTTGGTTAGAAGCTTGGGAATCCAAACTCAAAATTAGAATGTATGACATCTGTGGGAGACTTTTAGTGTAGTACAATAATTATGGTTCTATAAAGAACATTTGCTCAGTTAAACTCATATATTTAACTCCACACAGGCATATGAATCTGCACCAGTGGATCTCCTTCCATGACAGGGGACGGAGTTGGAATGGTTACAAATGCAAATTACTTTCGGCACATTTAAAAAAAAAAAAAAAAAAAAAAAAAATCAAGATTTTAGAGCTGGGCTAATACCTGAAAAAATACTTTGTTTCTATGCTGGGTGCCACAGACCTCAACAATTAAAAGCAATCTTATTTCAATATTTTTGGTTTTATGAGATATACCATTAGAAAAAATAAGTTTTGCCTTACCAAAATTTTAAAAAGCTGAACAGAATATTTGAAAGAGGGTATGTGTAAGTGTAACCAGGACAGGTAATTGTGGCTCCACCTACAATTACAGAGAATCTGAATCCCAAAAACATTTCAAGTAATCTGCTTTGTTTCATTTTAGCTTAAAGGACTTCTATCACTTGACAAGTTGTGACTGTCAAATTAAGTTCATGATTAAGTTTACTAGAGAAATGCTTACAAGGTTATGAAGCTGAATATATATTAAATCTAAACCAACAAGGCAACACTTCAAAATTCACATATTAACAAGGTAGATTTAACAAAAGTTAATTTCTCTTCACAGAAATTATTAAAAAAAAGGGAACATTATCCACACTTACCATACTAATTTTGAACAGATTAACCTCACAGTTCTCTTGCTGCTATCTTCAAGCAATCTACACTGGTACTTTACAGCACTGTAATCTTCTGGTTCAGGGGTGTGAAAAAACACCCCCCTCCTTCCTGTGCACAGCAAGTTACAGTGCTGTAAAGTGCCAGGGTGAACCAGACTACAGTGTAGCTACTCCCCTCATGGGAGGTGGTTTATAAGTGTGCTCTGAGGGCTCTCTCCCAGCGCTCCTGTTGTAGCCACACTTTAAACCAGGGGTGGGCAATAATTTTTGGCCAGGGGCCACTTCAAAAATGTTTGATGTGGCCCCGGGCCACACCAGAAGGGTGGGGCCTAAAATGGAAGGGGTGGAACCATGATGCTTTCGGGTTTCCCCACCCACAGACCAGGATTGGTCTTCGGGTGAGGCAGGCTCTTTACCTCCCTCCCCCCACTAAGCACCCCATGTCTCTGGGCAGGGCGGAAAGAGGCTTTGCACACTCCTTCACCCCCAGGACAATTAGGGCCTGGGGCGGGGGAAGTGAACAAAGTTTCCTCCGCCCTGCCAGGAGCACGTAGCATTTTGAAGTGCCACATGCTCCTGACCAGGAGGAAGGAGACTTCATGCGCTCCCCCGCCCCCAAGTCCTGATTAGCCTGGGGGCAGGAGAAGCATGCGAAGTTTCCTCTGCCCTACCTCTGACATGCAAGTAATGCGAGGCACTTGATTAAAAGAAAATCTTTCAATCAATTCATTAAGCTTGTATAGGAGCCCAATCATAGTTATTTTCTTTATATCCACATGGAAATTATTCCTTTGCAGAGAACCCATGTAAAATGAATGTGTTCAGAATGGTTAAAAGAATAAACTGAAGTGGTGATGAAAACTTACGCTGTATAGCTCGAAGACGAGGAATTATTGTGGGACTATTTGGTGGACTAGAGCTGTTACTGTTTAAGCTTCTTCGTTTATCCAAATTAGGGGAAGCTTGCACTGTTATTTTGTGCTGGAAATCTGTTGTGAAGAAAGCAACACAAGGTAAATTCCACTGTTCTAAACAAAGGTACCCTTTAAAAGACTATATTATTGTATTTCTTCAGTATTACATAAATATAAATTTCGTTGTGGGTAACTGCTCTTCATTAGACAAGACTTCTGTAGTAACAGAAAAATTCTGATATTACAGGTGTAGTTACTGGTTTGAGCTTGAATCATGCTGGTAGAATTTTACAGCTTCACTCTTACCATTTAATGGCCTTTTGGCAGGCATCTGAAATTAATTTGGTGGTTCAATGGGAGCTGAACTAAGAAATGTTTACATTTCTTACAATTCTTACAAGTGAATGAGCAACCTTGCTGGTGCTCAGATTCAAAAAAGCTAAAATCTGAACAGCTATTTTGTTTGCTTTCAGAGTGATCTTTATAGGTACCATTTGAGACAGGTTGGCATGGCATTGTGGGGAAGAGACTGTATTAGTGCTGTACCTAATATGGTGATAGCTTCATACCCTTACAAATACTTAATTAACACACAGTAATGCAAATGCAATGGCATGATTCTAGTCACTAACATTGTTTTTTCACCACTTCCCACAGTCCTGCGAAGCCTACAGTGCCATCTAGTGACAATGTTGTTATTAATACAATGCCACTGAGGAACAGACATTTTGTCACTGATGCCTGTAGAAACAATAACTTGATAAAACAGCAAGGTAATAATCCACTCAAGGTTTAAGATGCCACAATGGTCACCTTTTTCACACACCTATGAAGCCTGAAAACACATGCTGAAGTGAACTTCTCTTTAGCTATTCCTACATTTTTATGCACTACACACAGCATGGGCACACATACCCCATACCAACACTTGTTTTTTCTGCTCACCGTTCTTACCAGTCAAACACTAAGGAAGATAAGTGTGGTCAACAAGACTGCTGGTTAATAAAATCAATTATCTACAATGCTGCCCTCAACCCAGCGGTCACTTTTTATTTTGCCTTCTACAAAATGGTTTATCTATTGCATAGTTCCAATACTTTAAGTATATGTCAACTGACCTTTCTGGAAGGAAGAGTGATTCAAATTTGTTTCCCATAATCTGGGAAAGATTACCACTACTACATTTACAATGTTTTGACATAATTAAAGTAACTGAATAGGGTAGAAAAATTAGGGATGTCAGATATCAGGTAATTGAATAGCTGTGTAACTGCAAGAATTCCTGTCCGTTACACAACTATTCAATAGTCCCCGGGGCAGGGCCGGTGCAATCTGGCCCTACTCCCAGGGAACCCCTGCCACCCCTGCTGTATCAGAGGCAGACGCAGTCCCTGTCTGAGGGAGTCTGAGCTCCCTGTGGACAGAAGCTGCTGCAGCGGGGAAGGGAGACTCCCATGGAGCAGTTTCTGTCCCCTGCGAGCCTGATACAGCACCACAAGGGAGGGAGGCTCCCCCCAAGCATAAGCTCCTGCCTGCCCACTCTCCACCCCTCACCACCTCTGTGGGAGACAGCAAGGGTGGGGACAGGTAGCTCCGTAGAGCTAGCATGCACAGCCATATGTATTGGTTCATGCCTGCATGCGCCCTTCCACACCCTGTACTGGTGCATCTGATAGACAGGCAGCAGCGCGGGGGGGATGGAGGGAGAGGAGAGGACAGGGGAGGGAAGGGGAGGGGAAGCGGTCTGTGGGAGCTGATACATGTGGGCACGCATGTACCGGCTCCTGCCTACTCCCCTCACCTTCCAAGCTGGAGGGAGAGCGTCTCCCTTGTCTTCATTAAAAATGAGGAACATATTGCAAACTGATATATTTGAGAGTCCTGATTTTATCCTGTAAAGGATATTTAAAAGAAAAAAATCTATTTTAATAGCCAGCACATGTACTTTTAGCCTAGAAGTTCAGAGACCATGCTGCTGAATTAGGCATCTTCAGGTAACATACAAGGTCCACATGTTTCAGACAGGGGTCTTAATCTGAATATTTAGCTGTAAATAGAAGATTTTGTACAGCAGAAAAGAAAATTTTCAAACCTGAAGGCAAACTAATTCTATGTCCATCTTTAAGTTTTAACCGGCTCTTTTTAAACTTTCCCTTCCTCTTCTTCACATTGGGCTTCTCTTGATTTAACTGGAATATCAAAATATTCAGCTCACGCTCCAGTACATCAATCTCACGTTCTGCTAACTGCTGCTCACGCCGCTTTAGTAATTCTTCCTGAGATTTCTGCTGAAGAGCAGCTCTTGTCAGCTCCTCTTCTCGTGAACACAGCTCCTGAAAATGAGATTTACAGAGATGTAGGTAAATCACAATGTGATTCTTCCTGTTATTCATCTATTTAAAATATAGCACTGAATTGCATATCCTTTATGAGTTTCTTGACACACTATGTATGGATCCTTTATGCCAACGTATCACCACATACTCTTCATTCCTCATTTGTGTCCATTTTTTCTATTAACATTACGCAAAGTCTACAAAGCACAAATTAAATGGGTTTAAAAACTGGATCACAAAAATTACTTTTAAAATGTGGATTTATCATCCAATTGAGGCACTTCTAACAGTCTCACTCTGCATAATGGTCAATATTTTTCCTTTCCAGACTGCAATTGTGTTTGAACATTTGATTTTGTTTTTAATTTAACATGTAAATGTATTCTAAATAAAAGCCTTACTCCCTCAGCACCTATGTGTTTCAGAAACTGCTCCACTTTTTCATACTAATGAAAGTATAATCATGATCATTTGCACACATCTGGTTCAAAAGCACAGAAAATAACTGCATATAAACTAGAGAATATTTGTTTGATTTGATTTTGATGGGGGGAGAGCTTATACCTTTCTAAAGGCCCACCATAGTCCTACTGTTTGGGATAAAATCACTCTGACCAACACCAAGAAGTTAAATTTCATGTTATGCTTAAATTTTCAGACCCAGACTCTTTGACCCTGCTATATGCAGACCTCAAAAGAAAAGGAACATTCATCAATTCATAATGATGCCACTGGTCCCTCTCCAGAATTGAGTTCTTATGCAGTTACTTTATTTCTGAAATTAGGAAAAGAAAGGGGAAAGTAGGCATATTCACAACTTGAGATGAACTGGGTAATAGCAGTTACCAGGTCTTCAAACTTCTTCCAGAAGATCAACATATTTCAATAAATATAATTTAGAACATTTGTGAGAAATAAAAACATCCAAAATTAATTTGGAGTTTACTTACGAAGAAAACCTAAGTCTGTCTTTACAATGCACTCATACTTTTAATTTTGGGAATGCTACCAGGAATTCCAAACCCACCTACTGCTTTAAAAATACAGCAGCTCTCAAACTGCCCTATTCTCTTCCTGAAACTACAGCATTTGCAGATAGGAAAAAAATGTCACTCACTTTTTCCTTGGTTCTTAGTTCATTGAATATCTGATGAATTTCCAATTTCCAGTCATCTTGCATGGAGTGGAAGGATTCTTGAGGCATCTCAGCCATAACTGCCCCCTCAATGGCAGTAAGCTGTTCAAGAATTAAGGCAAACGATGGTCGGATGTGAGGATCCTGCTCCCAGCATTCTAAAATTAATCAAAATTCCATCAGTTCCGCTATTCATAGAACCTTATGGGGATTATTTACACAATGTATAAATTTTAAAATACTCGTTATTTATTCTTCAAAGTTCTAATGCTGCTTACTCCCTTCCCTGAGAATTGCCTAATTTTATCTTTGCTGGTATAGGCCATGCTTACCCTACAGTACACATCAAAATGTTACACGATGCCAGATTTTTCCGAGATAACCTATTTTCCAGATGCTACGTAGCAGAACTGCCAGTACCAAGTAATTAAGATTATTGAGCTAATACCCCCCCGAAAATCCATTAAGACACTCCAGCATTAATGCACAGCTGTCAGAGTCCCTGATCTCTCTGTGGAGAAGGAGGGAGAAGCCAACAGAACCTTTGGCAGTCAAAAACATGTATGAAGTAACAGCTAGCAATTTCCCTTCCCTTCCCCATACCACCACGATTTCAGTCATTTTGGTTTTGTATTTTACAACTTGTACAGTCTACATTTGGGTGGACATTATAGCTACTGAAGTATAAAAGACAAGAAACCACAAGAATACAAAGAAGATTACAGAAGATAATTGAACCACTGATTAAGGTGCTGTATCTTTTGAAATGATATGGTATATTGTAGTACAGGCAGTCCCCGGGTTACGTACAAGATAGGGACTGTAGGTTTGTTCTTAAGTTGAATCTGTATTTAAGTCGGAACTGGCGTCCAGATTCAGCAAGTATAAAAGACAAGAAACCACAAGAATACAAAGAAGATTACAGAAGATAATTGAACCACTGATTAAGGTGCTGTATCTTTTGAAATGATATGGTATATTGTAGTACAGGCAGTCCCCGGGTTACGTACAAGATAGGGACTGTAGGTTTGTTCTTAAGTTGAATCTGTATTTAAGTCGGAACTGGCGTCCAGATTCAGCCGCTGCTGAAACTGACCAGCGGCTGACTACAGGAAGCAAGCAGAGCCAAGCCGCGGAGCGCGTGGGCAGCGGATAACCCTGTCCGCTGCCCGCGGG